AATGAAAAATGCATATCTCAACTTAGGATGAATCGACATGCTTTTGTGAAGTGGTGTGCAATGTTACAAACTATAGGAGGGTTAAGGCCAACAAGAAATATGCTTGTTGATGAGCAAGTAGCAATATTTTTACATATTATTGCTCATCACGTAAAAAATAGGATCATTCAAAATAATTTTCAAAGGTCGGGGGAAACTATTAGTCGATACTTTAATATAGTATTGAATGCTGTTTTGAAACTCCGAAATCATTTATTCAAAGATTCTGAACCAGTTCCAGCTACCTCTACAGATCATAGATGGAAATGGTTTAAGGTAGTTAAACATATCCCTACAGTTGAGTTATAAGTTTAATTACCAAATTGTACCATAAAAGCTAATCCACATATTGAGAGTAGAATTAAAACTTTGAAAAAAGAATGGAGCATTATTCATGATATGGTGCAAGGTAAGAACACTAGTGGGTTCGGTTGGAATGATCAAAAGCACATGATGTATGCTGAAGATGCAATTTGGGAGTCATACTTAATTGTAAGTATTTACCTTTTTTTTTTTTGTACTTTCATTTATTTTTATTAATGTATACATACAAATAATTTATTTATGTTTATTATAGAGTCACAAAGAAGCTGCCCCTTTTAGAACAAGAAGCTTTAGGTTTTATAATGAGTTAGCTGCAATATATTCTAAAGATCGTGCAACTGGAAAAGATGCACAGACAGCAGATGACGTAGTTGAAGAAATACAAGATGAAGAACGGAATGATATAAGAGCTGACACAGAAGATAGTGCATTTGTTGGTTTGGATGATATTGATTTAACGAGTACACAACCTGAGCCACAAAATGATGGTAGAAAAAGAAGCAATTCAAGTAAGAGAAAGAGGAGCCATGATGAAGCAATACAATGTCAGAGGTTGGTAAGAATATGTCTTATGGTCTTCAATATGATCGTGATATGGATATGGTTCAGAAGCTTGAACGTGCATTAAAAGAGGTTGATGGTTTGGACCTTGTTTCGTTTAAGCTCACTGATCATCCTAATAAAGTAGCTTTCTTTCTCAGTCTTGATCCTGATCGAAGACTACAATGGATCAGAAGATTCCTTGCTATCAATTAATCATTTTATGAACATTGTAACTTGCATTGGATTGTTTTGAGTATTTTGTTAAAAATAACATATGTTATGCTTCTTTTGAATATTGTTAAAGAGTAAATTACACTTTTGGTCCTGTGACTATTGTGGTGTTATTAATTTCAATCCACGACTTTAAAAACTAACAATTTAGTACCCTAACTATTCAATCTGTATCAATTTTGGTCCATTTGGTCAAATTGTCAGCAAATTTTAATTGAAAAGACAAATATACCCTCAATTTTTAAAAATAATAAATGAAAAATTCAATTATGTACTTTTCCGGTGGAAGCTAGACGCAGGTTTGAGATCGCCGTTGCTGCTGTCGTTCTTCGTCGCACCATCGCAGCACCACGCCAAGACACTAGCTGCCTCCACCATCGCTGCGTACCTCTGGTCATCACTCTCTCTCTCTCTCTCTCTCTCGCTCGTCGACGGCAACATGGTGAACTAGCAGCAGCGCCGGCGTCTTCCCGGCGAGCTGAGCAGCGGCGGCGGACTAGTGTAATCAGCAGCAGCTCTCCTCCGGTCTGCAGCGGTGGCGAAGCTCTTGGTCTTCCACAAGTATATTTTACGTGTATACGTGTTACACGATGGATGATAGTAAATGATTTCCATATCCAATCTCGACGAAAATCTTCTTCGACTCTACGAGCCTCGCCATGATAGTGTGTTGTTGTTTTTCTCCAGTTTCCCCTTCGTTAACGTGATTCACCTTCCGGCCCCACATGTTTTCCGCCGTCTACGGTGCTATTCAGTTCTCACACTTCCTCTGATTCTTTGCCCGATGTTTAAACTTCTTGAGAATCACTCTTCCCCCATTCCTGGATCCAGTTCATGTTCATTACGCATTTTGTTTGTTTACTTTTTTCTGGGGATTGGGTTTTCAGTGTAATTTATTCTTGAGGGGTCACGAATGGGGTGTGCCTAAAATGCTTATCTGAATTTTAGTTGGTCTTGAATTATACTTGTGGAACACCAAGAGCTTGGCCACCGCTGCACGCCGGAGGAGAGCTGCTGCTGATTACACTAGTCCGCCGCCGCTGCTCAGCTCGCCGGGAAGACGCCGGCGCTGCTGCTGGTTCACCATGTTGCCGTCGACGAGCGAGAGAGAGAGAGAGAGAGAGAGAGAGAGTGATGACCAGAGATACGCAGCGATGGTGGAGGCAGCTAGTGTCTTGGCGTGGTGCTGCGATGGTGCGACGAAGAACGGCAGCAGCAACGACGATCTCAAACCTGCGTCTAGCTTCCACCGTAAAAGTACATAATTGAATTTTTCATTTATTATTTTTAAAAATTGAGGGTATATTTGTCTTTTCAATTAAAATTTGCTGGCAATTTGACCAAATGGACCAAAATTGATACAAATTGAATAGTTAGGGTACTAAATTGTTAGTTTTTAAAGTCGTGGATTGAAATTAATAACACCACAATAGTCACAGGACCAAAAGTGTAATTTACTCTATTGTTAAATGTTCTTTACAAAAGTTTGTTATTTATATGACTATTTTGTTTTGAGTATTAATCACTTGATATGACGATGATGATGGTGATGATGATATATAATAGTTGTTGTAATAATAATAATAATAATAATAATAATAATAATAATAATAATAATAATAATAATAATAATAATAATAATAGTTTTTGTACAAGGGCATTTATGTCTTTTAAACATATATTCTATTCTTATTCCTTAACCAACCAAACGTTGGAATACAGTTCCCAATGTCTATTCCTTTAGCGAACCAAACAAAAGAATACAATTCTTATTCTATTCCTTGCCTATTCTATTCCCTATGGAATAGCATTCCTATTCCCTCCAAATTCATTCCGTGAACCAAACGGCCCGTAAGTCCCTAACTAAGACTACTCCAGTACTTCGTTCCTGTCTCTATTCGTTTCTGCCAAAGCCGAATAACCGATCGAGAGTGCGACTGTGCGAGAGCCGAGAAGGCCAGACTCCAGCGACGCCATCGCGACTCACCGGCGTCCCACCGCGACTCACCGGCGACCCACCGTGACTCCGCGAGTCCACCGGTCAGAAACTGCGCGATCACTGTCTAGGTCTCCAGGACGCTAGCCTCCAGGTAATGAATTCTTCGGAGATGCCCGCATGGGTAGCTCAACTGGTCATAGAGGTGAAACTTTGGAAGAATGACCAGGGATCGAGTCTCACCAGCGGCAGTGTGGGAGCAAGTGTGGGAGCAACCTCTCAAAGTGTGGGGGGCTCCTTGTGCGCAGTGAGCACCGGAGTGTGGGGGGCTCCTTGTGCGCAGTGAGCACCGGTCTAGCCTCTGTGATTAATGTTCAGTTGAGTCACCATGATTTACAACCTCCCACCGCTCTGTCGGGCCGGGGTGTGGGGGGCCCAGCCTCTGTGATTAATGTTCAGTTGAGTCACCATGATTTACAACCTCCCACCGCTCTGTCGGGCCGGGGTGTGGGGGGCCCTTAGGGTTGGGGTTCAGCCTTTTGGAAGAATGAATTCTTCGGAGATTATTTCTTATAGTTGGTTAAGGGATTTTTTTGTTGAACAAATTCTTTTATTAAAAACTTTGTAGGTTGTTGATAGAAATGTAAAGTATATATCTTCAGTTCTTCGCATATAGCAGATTAGCCGTACATGTTTTTTTTTTGGTGTTTTTGTCTCAATTAAGCTAAGGAAAATGAATTGAGCATATTAACATTTAGCAGTACATGTAGCTGTTTTTTTTTTTTTTTTTTTTTTTTTTTTTTTTTTTTTTTTTAGAATTTAGACATTTAGACATTTAGTGTATTATGTATATAATTTCTTTGTGCTATCATATTGTGTTCTGTGTATATAATTATTGATTTCATGTGTACTGCTCCGTCTACTCAGATTGCTCGTGATTCGTGATGGATTCTATGTCTTTGAACCAAACTAATGCGGACCAAACTACTCATACCATTGTCGATGATAATGTTGATGGAATGCCAGGAATGGATAGTTCTACAAAGAAAGGTAAGTCTAAACAACTTACCTCTGATGTGTGGACTTATTTTACAAAGCTTCCAATTGGTGAAGATGGTATTCCAAGGGCAAAATGCAATGGTTGTTCAAAAGAATTTAAAGCTGGGGGAAAAATACATGGAACTTCTTCATTAAAGAGACACAAAGAAACATGTAGGATGTTAAAGTTTCATGATGTTGGGCAAATGTTTGTTAATCATGAAGGCAAACTTGAATCTAGGAAAGTAGATCCAAATGTTGCTAGGGAGTTGTTAGCTTCTGCAGTCATCAAACATGATTTACCATTTTCATTTGTTGAATTTGATGGTATTAGAAAATGGCAGAAGTATTTGAATCCCGATGTGCCTTGTATCTCTAGAAACACACTTGTGTTAGACATTACTAAGATCTACTTTCAAGAAAAAGAGAAGCTTAAACAAGTGTTGACAAATATCAAGAATAGAATTTGTTTAACTTCTGATGTATGGACTGCATGCACTAGTGAGGGATATATTTTCTTAACTGGGCACTTTGTTGATGTGAATTGGAAATTGAATAACAAGATACTTTGCTTTGCTAAGATGCCTCCACCACACACAGGTTGTGAATTATCTGCAAAAATATTTCAATTTTTGAAGGATTGGGGAATTGAAAGAAAGGTGTTCTCTTTGACATTAGATAATGCATCTAGTAATGATAGTATGCAAAACATTTTAAAGGAGCAATTAGCTTTGCATGATAGTTTGTTGTGTGATGGAGAGTTTTTCCACATTCGTTGTTCAGCCCATATATTAAATCTCATTGTACACGAGGGGTTGAAAGTGGTTAATTCATCTTTGCATAAAATTAGAGAGTCTGTCAAATATGTGAAAAGTTCTGAGGGTAGGATGCAGAAGTTTGAAGAATGTATAAGTGCAGTTGGTAACATTGATACTAGTATTGGTTTGAGATTGGATGTGTGACTAGGTGGAACTCCACATATTTAATGTTGGAAAGTGCTATTAAGTACAAAAGAGCATTTGCTTCTCTTCAATTAAATGATAGACAGTATAAATTTTGCCCTTCAAATGAGGAATGGAAAAGAGGTGAGAAAATATGTGAGTTTCTTGAGCCATTTTATGAGGTGACAAATTTGATTTTCGGTTCTTCCTATCCTACCTCAAATCTATATTTTATGCAAGTTTGGAAGATTGAAAGTATGTTGAAAGAAAACTTGGATAATGAGGATGTCTTGATAAGTGGAATGTGTAAAAAGATGTTTGACAAATTTGATAAATATTGGAGTGAATATAGCCTAGTGCTTGCATTTGGAGCTATTTTTGATCCAAGGATAAAGCTTGTAACATTGGAGCATTTATATGGGGATGTTCAAAGTGATCCAACTAAACTTCAAGAAATGATTTCACTTTTGAAGACAAAGTTGAACAAGTTTTTTAGTGCTTATGCGGATATTATTACTCCACCTCTTTCCCAACCACAGTTTTCTCAAGTCACATCTTCAAGTATGCAAAGTGAAAGTTTAGGTAAAAGTCAAAGAAAAAGAGCATTTGAAGTAAGTATTTTAAGTTCTAAGTTTCTAACACTTCAATTTATATATATTTTCTATACATGTTTAATGTTTTAAATTTTAATTTCTAAGTTTTAACTAATGTAGGCAATTAAAAGGTATGATAATCAAACTGTTAAGACTGTTGGAAAGTCAGAATTGGAAATTTATTTGGAGGAGCCAAAACTTGATATGCATACTATGAGGATTTGAATATTTTGGATTATTGGAAAGAACGTATGCATAGATACCCTGCACTTGCATTGATGGCACGAGATGTTTTGGCTATCCCAATTACTACTGTTGCATCGGAGTCGGCATTCTCTATTGGTGCTCGTGTGCTCACCAAGTATAGGAGTTGTACTTTGCCTGAAATTTGCACTAGAAATTGGTTGCATGTCTATGCTATTGGTAAGTTATTATATTTGTTTACAAAATAATGAAATATTTGATTATATTTTAAGTAGTTGATATTTTGGTGTATTGTAATTTAATTTTTAACTCTCTATTATGTTGAATTTTCATGTAGATACTGAAGAAAGTTCAAGTTCAACATCAAATTTGTCCTTTGAAGATTCAAATGTTGTAAATCTTGTTCATGACAATGATGAAAATGAAGATGAAGAGGATGTGAATGTTGGAATATTGGAATGATGTAATGGACTTATGATTTATGAACTTATGTAGTTAAGTAGTTTGAATTTATGAACTTATGTAGTTAAGTAGTTATGAACTTATGTAGTTAAGTAGTTATGAACTTTTGTAATTTTTAGATCTCTATTATGTTGAATTTTTATGTTTTTAACTTATGTAGTTAAGTAGTTTGAATATATGAACTTACTTATGAATAAGTGTTTTAAGTAGATAATATTTAAGTTATTAACATAGTCATGTACTCATGTTAGAGTTTAGATTTTAGGGACACATTAATACACTATACATGATACAAAGAAGAAAAAAAATAGGCGGGCTAGGCGGGGGCCCGCGGACTTAAGGGGGGCGGGGCGGGCTGCCCCTACCTAAGCCCGTTTTTTTGGCGGGCTTTGTAGCCCGCCCCGCCAAAAGGCGGGCTTTGGCGGGCCCCGCCCTGTCAGCCCGTATTGACAGCTATATATATATATATATATATATATATATATATATATATATATATATATATATATATATATATATATATATATATATATATATATATATAAAAGAATCCAAGAGAGTTACGCCTATATATAATGGGTAGAAAAAATGACGGTTAAATTTTTTAATCAAATGAATGGCTCAAATTGATCAGATTTTAATTTTTCCTTGAAATATCTTAATTTATCCTTAATTATATGATTATCCGTTAACTTTTTCGTTAAATATTATTTTCTCCGTTAATTTCTGTTAGTTCACCGTTAACTTACTCATAGATTTCAATAAGAAAGGTCTTAGATTCGAACCCCATCCCATTTAAAGTTGGCATAATTAGTACTTTATTTTACTCTTATTAAATTAAATATTAATTCAGTAGCTACAACAAAAATAATAAATATGTATTTCTTTAATTTAGAATTATGTGTCTACAATGTCTTTATTCAAAAAAAAATTATTCATTATCAATAAATTAAATAAGAGAAATAATTTCATTAGTTATATTGCTTTTATGTTTCTCCAATATAAAAATTCTTTACATTCAAATTCATCAATTGATTATATTCGCTACATTGTCCCTACAATATCTTTATTCAAAAAAAAAAAAAAATTCATTATCAATAAATTAATTAAGAGAAATAATTTCATTAGTTATATTGTCTTTATTTTTCTCCAATGTAAAAATTCTTTACATTCAAATTTATCAATTGATTATCAAAAATTATGAATCTACAATATAGAAATTATGGATCTATCCCTGTGTTCACCATGCGCATGATGAACACGTTTCCACAGCATAATTTGCGAACAATATATATATATATATATATATATATATATATATATATATATATATATATATATATATAGGTTAGGCGCCTTGTAGGGGCCTATGTCCTAACCTAATTAAGGCCAAGTTAGGCCTAGCTTATTTAGTAAAAATGCCAGGCTTAGGCCAATTTCAAAGCCTATTAAACCAATTAGGCTAGGCTTATATATAGCAGGCTCGGCCTTCAGGCCTACAGGCCTGGCCTATTTATATATATATAAAGCTTGGCTCGGCTCGGCCTATTTTCACTCCTAAATCTGGGTCATTCAAATAAAAAAATCGAACACACAAGATTAGTTTTCATGTTCTCACATTAAGGGTGGTTCTCCTTTGAATGCAATTATATGTATATAATCCTGATCAAATATTAACTAGATTTCTCGTGATAAGTGTATACTAATTTGATCCATTGGATCTATCCGTCTAGGATGATCAATGGCTAAACAATGATGGGGCCAATTTTATAAATATTAGTATAAAGGAATCAACTTAAGAATTCGATGCATGTATTTCTTTAATGTATCAAAACTAATTAGACTGTAAGATGCCTTAGAAATTAAATATCTTCATTTTTAAAAGTAAATGTGTCATCTATCAAAACTTTCAAAAAAGTGAGAAAAATCAAACAAATTGAGAGACAAAACAAATGAGCAAGAAGTTACCATATCTTTCTTGAAATTCAAGTGCACAGTGTAGAATTCCAACCTTGGATGAGTTGACAAAAGTTCTCTAAGCACTAGTTTAAAGTCTGCCTACAGTCAATTTGATCAATTGAACATCACCTTATGGTTCACCAATTTTTATCATTTCTGTAGTGAAATCAATGCATCAAGAACATAAAAGCGTCAATGAATTATCTTGCTTTTGGAGTTTGCATATTTAATTCTTGCTCATCAGTAAAATGAAAAATATGATAAAACAAATTAAACTTTCTTGATCCAAAAGACCTCACACCTTACCTAAAATATTCAGAACAAATCATCTTATAAGAGCTAAAGAGCTACATAAATAATAATACAGAGAAAGTTTTTATGACTTTATGATTTCATGAAGCTTTTGCTGCATAAACCTAGTTTTAATCCACATACAAATTATCACGGAGCAACAAAGTCAACATTATTTAGAACAAGAATACTTAGTCTACTTGAATTGATGCCACTGTCAAACTCATTCAAGCTTGAAATTGATTATTTAATTTGATGCTGAAGTCACTAACTGCATCTAATTGGCCAACATCTATTGTGGCTTCATCAACCTTGTGGAGTATTGAATCAAACGTAGGAGACAAGAGAGTGACAACAATTAGTTGAGTCTCATGAGCCAAGATGTATTATTCCTAAGACATTTAATTAGCGTGTACTGCTTGCCTCTTCAACCAATTCCATCACGATAAGTGGTTGCTCCTGCTTAATAACAAAAATGTTTATAGTTCAATCACCTCTGTTATGTCAAATGCAAAAAGTTTAGTACAATTGCAGCTTCATACAAACCAGATTTCAAGTCATAGTTGGGGAATTTATCCAGTCTTCAAGTGTTTTAATTTTTTGGTTGGGCGAATCAGATTGAAGTTAATGTGGATCATTGGTTCCCTTTAGCTTAGTCCTCTCCTAGATGTATGTGAAAGAGATACGTTGATGACATGATTTTGTCCCTTCTCTATCACTTCTTTTGGTATATTTTCAGCATTCAATTTGTGCAAGTAATGCATACTCATTCTTCTAGTGCTGTTCATATTCGCAACTCATACAACAAAGCTAGCACATTAAAATCTAATATAATTATGAAACCGAAACAACAATTACCCAAAAATAACAATAATATTGTTGGCCTATTTTAGATTCAAATATGTTCTCTTTGCAAACTTGCATCAGTAACCTAATTGCACATAAGACACTACCAATAAAAAGAAGTGGACAAATAGTGAAGATGAAGGGAATGACAAACCTATCCAAAAGCGAATTAACAAAACTTAGAGTAATTTCAACCAAAAGTAATATATGTTACCTAATACCATACTAACTACAATAAGTATTTAGATAATTACTTTTAGAAAAGTACAAACATTAATTTTAATATTTGTCAACTATAATGAACTTCTCCTATATAATCTTACATTGATATCATGGGTAGATCCAGAAATCTTCGTTAGTGGGGGCAAAAGATTAAAAACCAATGAGATATTTTGAAAAAAAAAATTACTTAGAGGTCGAGTCATAAATATTGTTAATTATGATGAAAATTTAAAATACATCAAAATGAGATAAAAATAGTCAAAACAAAATGTGAATATAATTAATTAGATAAAATAATTTGAATAGAAAACATATTATAAAACACTCATATCACTATTAATATTAAAAATGAGAAAAAAAAAACACAACGTTGCAAATAAAAATTTCACAAAATATGAAATATAATTAGTTAGACAAAATCGTTCGAATAGATCGAAAACATATTATACATATAAAATAATAAAATTAATCTCAGTATAAACTCATGTTATAAGATTTAAACCCCTAACATTTAGAGAAATACTAGAGATCTTACCATCTAAATCAACTTATCCTTTATTTAAGTTTATGTAAATTTAATATTTATAAGTTAATTAATGAGCCAAGACCTTGTGGTCTAATGGCACTTGGGTTGGAATCCCATATGGGAGAAAAAAAATTAATAATGTATATAAAAGGGACCTATACAAACAATATATATTTAGGATTTTTATTTTGAAATATATAAAACTAATAAGTGATTGACTTTTACCAATATGTACCATGTACAATAGGATTTTTTGAATTTTGATTCGTGAGTAGGGGTGTTAGCAAACAGAGTTTCGGTAAACTACTTGTGTTCGTGTTCGGTAAGCGTTCGTTTATTAAGGTAAACGAACATTAACAAAAAAAATTTAGAGCTCGGTTTATAAACAAACAGAGTCTGAATAGTTGTAAGCTCGTTTGCTAAGAGATCGTGAACAAGCTCGTTTGTGTTCGTTTAATAATGTTCGCGAACAAGCTCGTTTAGTGTTCGTTTAATATTTGTTTGTATTCTCTTTGTAGTTGTGTTACTTGTTTGGTTATTTTTTATGAACATATATTATTTCTTGTTCACGAACAAATTGTGATCATGAACATGTTCATATGTTTGGTTACTAAGTATTCACGAACGTGAACAAACATGTTCGTGAACGTGTTCGTTAATGTTAACAAACATGTTCATGAACGCTAACAAACACTAACGAACGCTTAACAAACGAACACGAACAGGATTTTAAAAAATCTTAACAAACGAACACGAACACAAACACTCTGAAAACCTTAACAAACGAACACGAACAACCTCAGTTCGTTTATGTTCGGTTCGTTAACAACCCTATTCGTGAGCAACTCAATTCATAGACTTTTTTCACGTGAAGGTGTATAATAGTCTATAAATCACATAGAAAAAGTAAATCACATAAAAAAACATTTTGCAATTAACTCGAACAATAAAGCATTGACAAATTAAAGATTGAACTCATAACCTTTAGGTAGAACCCCTCTTTCACGACATCCATAGGTTGTTATCATGCAACAAAATCTAATAGGCAGGGTAAGGGACACCAGTAAACAGTAAGCATGCTAGCTGAAGGTTTTAGCAAAGATTACTAACAACATTACTTTGTTTATAATAGACATGCATCACCAGACCATCCCATTGGCCACTGTTACTCGAAATGAACATGTTTAATAAGATCGATAATATGTTATCCTTATAGTGCAGTGGACACAATTAAACATTTTAATTACCTACAAACTCGCTTGCTTGTCGTGCACTGCACGAATATAATCTTGTAATTAATCTAACAACATAAACTCGTAATTAAAATTTAATCATGAAACAATCGATCCCATCACCACATGATTAAGGAAGTGTATGTATTAAGGAGTAAATAATCGGAAAGAGTGGCGCAGAATTGAGGAGGGTTCATTTTCAGTGAATATATATTATATATCATCTATCCAACTTCCAAGCTTCTTGGTGCATGTGCAGACATCCTCGCTCGATTCAAATATGTGTATTGAGTAGATTATTGTATGTATGTATGTATGTATGTTCACATAATTAAAGGTGGTTATCACTTTCCCTTACTTGCCAGATCAGAGGATCCCACGCACCGCCGGGACCACTGTACTGCATTAATTTAAACAAACAGACAACACCAAATAGCTAGCTAGCTAGGAAACCCATACGCCTCAAATTGCTGTGTTTTTCCACATTATTATTGTCGAAAACCACAACTTGTCACGCATTCCCTAATGATATATAATGCTATACCACTCTTTCCATTTTGTTTGATACAAGGGAAAAGAGAATAATAAGAAGAGTTATATAACTTTGAGGTGAATAATTTTTACTATTTTTATAAATAGTAAAGGCTTAACAATTTCAAGAAAAGTTTCTAAAATCTTGGAATCATTTTGAATGTGATGATGGAAGTTCACTAGTTGATGTGAAATTGTATATATCATTACTTACCCTTGATAAGTTGATATATGTTCCTAGTGGTTGTTCAGTATTCTAGATAATTCAAAGTCTGGACATTTCTTGGCATCAAGTAGCAATTTTTCTTTTTCTTTGGATGACTTCTTTCCAAACCTTATTAGGTTCGTATAGGTAGCCCTTTTACTAAGCTCCATTGTTCTAGGCCTGGCCCACATCAACAAGCAGATGGTAATTACTCTAAATAGCTTTCGTTCTGATCTAGATTTTTCTTGGCTCACTTTAATTTGAGCCTTATTAAGCATTTGGTAGTTGTTTCTTAAGTTTCCACGCATTAGGCTGACACTAGCCAAGCGAATAGCTCGTTCACTCTTTACTTTTCTCGGCTCACTTTCAATCTTATCAAGCACCGAGTCGCATTATTCCCGTCACACAGTCTCTCAATAAGAACATCAATGATATGACACTCAATTCAAGACGTTTACTCTATCACAAAATCTACCTCATAAATTAAGGTGTGGCCAAACCAGCACACATGTTCACCTCACGATAAATATGTTTAACTAAACAATACGAATCTCTATTAACTAATTCTTTAATTTTCATTGCCAATAATCTCTTCTCATAGTTGATAGGTCATGAGTCAATATGTCATGACCAAAAGAATCTTTAATTTTGACCTCATATTAAAACCAACATAATCATAAACAATCATATCTTAAACTTGACTTGCATGCTGAGGTTTAATTTAAGGAATAAGGTTCAAATTGGCCACTGAACGTAACCTGAAAATGTAATTAGGCCACTGAACGAAAAAAAAGTGCAATTAGGCCATTGAACACTCAAAAAATGTGCAATTAGGCCACTGAACTCTCCAAACGTATGCAATTTTACCGGATAGCAGGTTACCATCAATTTTAGCAGGTTACCTGCTTACGTGGTAGCTTAGTTGGCATTTTTAATAATTTTTAAATAATTTTTAATAATTAATTTTAATAATAAATTTTATAAAAAATTGGAAAAAATTAAATAAAAAATAAAATAAAGTCGTTTTTATTTTTTAAATTTTTTTTTAATAAAAAGTTATTATTAAAATTTATTAAAAATTATTAAAAATGCCAACTCAGCTGCCACGTAAGCAGATAACCTGCTAAAATTGAGGGTAACCTGCTATTAGGTGAAATTGCACATTTTGGAGTGTTCAGTGGCCTAATTGTACTTTTTTTTTTCGTTCAGTGGCCTAATTGCATTTTCAGGTTACGTTCAGTGGCCAATTTGAACCTTATTCCTTAATTTAATTATCAGTTAAGTTTCATAACAATTATCCACGTATAATTTATTATATTATATTCCAAACTCCAAATAATGTAAAGAAAGGCAAAGATATTCTGGAGATTGGAGTAGATTAGGGGTAAATTAATGTGGGGATCCACCCAGATATTTGATTAGATTTTAATTGTTGCAAGTTGTCAAGCAAGTTGGGGACTACAATTCAAGATTAGCTGAAAGTGGATATGCATATGTATATCACCTCTGACGTTGCTATCCTCTTATACTATTTTCTTCCTGCCTTTTTGAGATTCCGAATGTTGGCTAAGCTTTTCACTTCCTTTAACATGGGAATTATAAAATGTCTAGAGCCGAGATAAAAATAAATAAAATCGAGAACAAATAGGAAATCAAAGAAAATATAATTTACGTGGTTCAATTCGACAATTTTTTTTGTTAATTATGATGATAAATCGTCCAAGTTACTATATTGTATCATAATTATATGTAATATTAACTTACAATATATTTACAAAATTGCTTCTATACCACTATGTTATAACACCTGTCATTTTCATTAATATATAATATATACACAACATAAAATTCAAAAAAGAAAAAAATACGCGTGATAATATAATTATGGAATAAAGTAGGGATAGATTTAGAATGCGCATAGGATTAGATTTTATATGTATACAACCTTATAATTCGCACTGCTTTTTTAAGGAATAAGGATTGAAGAACGACCACGGCTTTTTCTCATACAGACATTTGGCCCTTGGAGGGATTTTAAGGCCACTACCGGTTTTGCCCTCTCTCTCTCTTGTTCATTTGCCCTTACTCCTGGTTTCCTGTCCCATTACTCTATTTACTTGAATATATTGCTTTAGTATACAAATATGAGTTAATGCTATATATAATCTTTCAAGTATAATGATTTTATCATGTTTAGTACTAAATTTTTAAATCGATCACTCGTGATTCTTCTGCTTTCAAATTGTTACCATTCATGGTCCAAATTAATTACTCATGGTCTTTCAATTATCAAATTTTTACCAAGGAGGACAACGACTGGTTAAATTTTGAAAGTTGAAGCATCATTGGTGGTTAACTTGGACCACGGATGGTAACAATTGGAAAGTTGAAGGACCACGGGTAGTCAATTTAAAAGTTTAGGACTAAACGTGGTAAAATCACTATACTCGAAGGACCCCAAATGATATTAACTCATACAAATATTTATGGCCTATTTGGTTTGTGAAAAATATTTGAGAAGGAATGAAATTTAAATTTTATGAAAAAAGAATTGAAGAGATTGTTATATTTCATTGTTTGGTTGGTGGAAAACAAATTACTGGAAATACTAATTCTATTATTTGGTTGAGTTTGAAATTGTAATGAACAATGAGTATAAAGACCAATATGCCACTACACAACAACAACAACAACAACAACAACAATAATAATTAATAAAGATTCATGAGGATAAATTAGTCATGTCAAGTCATATTTTCTTCCCAATTCCATGAAAAACAAAATACCATGAAGAAGTAAAGAATTCGTTTTTCTCAAATTTAAGGAATTCTACTTCCAAAGGAAAATGAATTCCATGAACCAAACAACACAAGATAACATTTTCCCCAACTTTTTGGAAATGAACTTTCTTAAAAAATATTTTCCATCCAACTAAACATGCTATTAGTATCCGAGGTGACTTGAGAAATATCCGTGATTTCATCTGTGTTTCACAACATTGTTAGGGCAAGAGCAGTGAATCATCAGAAGTAAGGATTGGAGTGCAATCGTTTAGATATATTGCTTTAGGGTCACACTTGTGTGAGACTATCTCACGGATCCTTATTTGTGAGTCGGGTCGGGTCGGGTCAACATGCAAATGTCATACTTATATGCTCAAATGTAATACTAATCAAGAATAAAAAGTTTGTTACTTATAGGTAGGGGTATCAAAGTGGGCTGAAACCCGCGGGTTAGTCTGCACCCGCCCCGCAGTGGGTCAGGTTAGGACCATAGAAAAACTGGCTCGCGAAAATGCGGGCCTAACGGGCCAACCCGCATATATATATATATATATATATATATATATATATATATATATATATATATATGGTTGCATTCACATGCAAACACCCTTAAAATACAAACGTGAGGACAAATAGGGGCCATAAGATTTGAGTAGATTGATGGATTAGATTAAAGGGAATAAAAATATTTCAGGATCCTATTTAATGATAAAAAGGGCAGTTAAGACAATTCGTAATTAGGATAATTAGGGCAAAATTTAGGGGTTGATATTAGCCAAAATTAAAGAAGAATAATAATTATGGTAGGATTAAATACAATAATAGATGTCGCCTCCCACCAACAGCAATAAAATCTACGGCAAACACCATCCAAAAACGGCATTCAGGCATAGCAACACGGCGAGAACTCATGGATGCGAATGTGGAGAATATGTCGACTTCCCTCCCAGGTAAACAAACCAAATTGATTATGATAGTTTAAGGACACAGTGTGTAATCAATTTTTGAATGTGCATCATGCGTATGATTCAGTATAAACTATGTGAATTGGATATTAACGAATGGGGAGTATGTATGCATAGTAGAGGCTGCAATTTTGAGGTTCAGATTATGAGGTGAATTGGATATTAACTATGACTGCAATTAACGAATTGGATATTAACTAATTTTGAGGTTCAGATTATGAGGCTGCAATTAACGAATTGGATATTAACTATGTGAATTGGATATTAACTAATTATGAGGTTCAGATTATGAAAAATATACGGGATGTAGAGGTTGTAATTTTGTAGTCCCGCACACAGTTATAGGGTACGGTGCACACATCCCAGAACCAGGGTAAGAACATGTTACGGGATGCAACGGTTTCGATTATTACAAGAACATGTTACGGGATGCAACGGTTTCGATTATTACCGGCCACGTACACAGGTAAATGGTCCGGACCACGTCTGGCAGTGAATGAATGACGCAATTGGGTGATGCACACACCATGCAACTATCAGTAAACCTTATTGAGAGTAATAATATTTGAAGGGTCTTGCACATCGTAAAATATGCAACACATTTTAATAATTTTATAATGGTCAACATGTGAAGATCAATATGCAAGCAGTGTACAAGAATGTGTAATGACGTATGAATCACTAAAGGTTTTCTCATGTGCAATTGTTTGCTATTCATTTTAATTTTTTTTTCTATTCTGTAGAAGAACATGTTGTCTGAGTTTTTCAAGTGTATTGATATTGTTAGGTCTGCCAGTGCAAATTTGGTTGCCAAGAGGATGCAGATGTTGTGACGTGATTCCAAAAATAAGGTCGATTGTGGTGTCTATGTCATGCATCACATGGAGACGTATGTAGGGCAAGGTGTGTCGAATTGGGATTGTGGGTTACACAAAGATGAAACTTCTGAGTTGCAGCGCCTACTTCTGTGTTGTGTGTTATGTTTGCGCACAATTTATTTATAGGGTGCACACATTTTCTTAGTGTTGTGTTACGTTATATACATTAGGTGCACACATTTTCTTAGTGTTGTGTTACGTTATATACATTAGGTGCACACATGATTTGGCTTACGTGCACATGTTTTTTCATTTGTTGTACCCTAACCAACAATCGACATATTATATTTTGGAGCGCATATGTTTTGAGGATTTTGTGCACACAAACCAGGTGTTGTTTCGCAATTTCGTGTTATTATTTAATTTTCATCCAACGAAAAGCTCATTCACATCACATTAAATTTAAAAAAGTAAAATTGAAATCAAATTACTAAGTCTTCATTTTTTCCTTCCAATATGTTCAATTTTCACATTTATATGTGCACACAGTTTTGCGCAGGATACACACGTAGCGCTAGGGTGTCATGATTGCGATGCACACAGTTATGATTTGGAGTGCACGCATGGATGAATAATGAACATTAACCATTTTGCAGGCTTAATGTACACAATTCATTGTGTTTGTGTGCACGGTGTTTTTGGTTTGCAACATTTGTGCATTAATGAGATTCGGTGGGTGCACATGTGCCTAAATTAAATACTGCAAAACGAAATGTATGCTAAAGTTGTCTTGCATAAGAGGAAGAGGAATGCACATAATTCTACAGATGAATGCACAAATGTGCCCACTAAGAACAAAAAAAAAAAAAAACATAAACATAGGCATTTACAAATTGTCATCTATGAGCAAAAAATGTGAGATATATACAATATTGACAATAAAAATCTGCAATGTGAAAGAGGCGCATACTATAGCTGAATAAAATGTTAAGAATAAACAGCAAACACCCACAAAGGGCGTAACCAAAATACAGTTGAAAATTTAATGAAAACAGCAGACGACGCCCTAATCTCCACCCTTGGAAACGTTGCATCCACTTCTACAGTAAGCTTATGGTCGGGGCATTCAAAAACCATGTCATCTTGCAATCTTACTAGGAAAGCCAAAGTTGACGAACTGTGCGAGACACCAGGTTCAGACTGAAATACCTTTACCTTCTTAACTGCAACAACCATTAAAAAAAATTGCACATACTTCACCATAATAATCATGCACAGAACTACTACACATAACAGTGAATAGGTGCACATACATACTTTAAAATCATCCATCGTGTGAGTAATTTATTCATTGAAAATTATAGGAATGCACAGTCTAATGTCTTGTAGGCATATTAGGCCATTCCGTCATTGTTTATATGCACACATAGATTCACACGTTTGCTACTATGAATTGAACACAACACAGGTTCTGTCGTGCACATATAATAGTTGTTAGATGCACACACAATAAGCAACGTTGTACACAGTCACACAAACCAATGCACGGTCACTACGAAAACAAATAAAAAACCCTCATAATACACTATAGAACAAGACTGCACATATTCATACCCCACCATGCACACAGAACACAAGCAGTAAAAAAAAAGCTAAAACAACATTGTACATTATAGAGCAAAGTACGCACACTTATACACAATCGTGCTAAAAACTCAATCACATACTAGTAAGAGTGCACATATATAACTCTAGCAAAAAAAAAAAAAAAAAAATCAAAAAACAAGTTGCAAAATGGAACTAGATAGCACACACTGCTACCAAACTACGCACATAGCACCCAAACTAGATGGAAGTGAAGCTGGAATGCTAAAAGAAGGATCAACAATTAGTTTTTCATGTCCGACTATGATCCTAGAATGGTTTACATACATGTCTCTCCCCCCTCTATTTCAGAGCGGAATTTGAACTACCCAAAAGATGTAAAAAAAAAAAAATGGGGAAATGAGTGATCTTTGAGGGACTGAGGCTTTTCACTGTGATGACATCAACCACAAAATTCATTTGGAGTATACTTGATCATTTTGATAATATGGTACAGAGTTGTAAGCAAATCATTTGCAGGAAATACAATTAAACAACCCACCAAATTAAACAACACTCTACTGACAAATATATACCAGTGCTATATCGTACTGCATATCAAAAGGAACATTGATTTTGAAGATAAGGGGAAATCGTCAGCTTGCAGAAGCAAGAAAACATCCTTTGAGGATTAAAATAAATATATCATATACACATTGGCACATATACTATCACCTGAAAATGGCAAATAACTGCCCTCAAGATTGAAATTAAACTGAAAATTTTCAAGAAAAATCAACAAAAGTATACCTCTACCGAAACACCTAAACGCCATTTTTTTGAAAAACCAAAAACAAAAAAGAAAAAACCTAACGATACAAAATCCGGCCACCCATCAACCCCTAACCCAAAAAGTCTACTACGAACAATGAGAAGCATGTATACCACCAAAGAAAACGACAACACAGACACAAAAAAAAAAAAAAATTAAAATTTAAAAAAAAAAAAAAACACGAAAAAGAAAACGGAAAACATCAAAAGGGGAAAAATTTTACCTCGCCCGACGCCTGGACCAGGTGGTTCCGAACTCTTGCCTCTATTGTTGTTCCCACCGACATTCATTGCTTAGTATACGGACGACGATGGAGAATGAAGACCACCGGATGCGAAGATCGAACGGCAACATGCGCGGATGGAGTAGGAGCTCTACGGACGACCATGAATAACAACGGGCGTGTGTGGAGTGAAAATCGGATCACCCTAATTTACACACCAATGAAATCACTAAACTACCCCCCACACTTATACTAAAAACTGAAGAGTAATTAAAACAAGCGAAAATACAAAACACAATCCTAACCATCCAAATCTGAAATCAAACGGTGTTAATTAGTCCACACGTTTTTATTTTAAGGACTGTTTGTATTTGAATATAATCCTATATATATATATATATATATATATATATATATATATATATATATATATATATATAAAGCCAATCCTAATTGACTCAGTATGGCCCGTCTCCTCACCCCTCACTCCTCAGTACGGGCTTCTCTTTGTAGTCTGCCAAGATTCGAAGGTCGTTGCCTCCGTCATTCACCCACTACAGCCCACACATCCACCACTGTCGTCCTCCATGCCTGATGTCACCAGCCCACCACCGGCAATCCGATACCACACCTGCCGTCTTCTGCGATTCAAAGGTCGTTGCCTCCGACTCCTCTGCTCTAGCTTGCCGCCGGCTACCACCGTTGCACGCTCTAGCCTCCAGCCCTCCAGATTTCATATTTATATTTAAATTTTTTATAGATAAATTCTGGAAAAGTTTATTTTGTTAATTTTAATTTGAAATTTGATAGCTCAAAATTAGAATAGATTAAAGTAGAGTACGAATATATTATCACCTAGAGTGTGTTTCTAGAATTCTAGGTGACTTTCTCATAATTCGAATTAGGGGTGGAAATAGGCTAGGCCGGGTCGGGCTTTAGAAAATTAGGCCTGGGCTTGTTATGAAATTAAAATCTAAAGCCTAGGCCTGGCTTGAACCTGTATGTAGGTTTTTTTTTTTAGGCTCAAGCCTGAGCCTACAGTTGACCTGGCCTAGCCTGAAGCCTTTTTAAAATCCTAATTAATAAATAGGCTTTTAAAAAGGCTTCAAAGTAGGTCCTAAATAGGCTTTGAGCTTATTTAAACAATTGTTATATCGTGCACTAGGACGCACAATGCATTGTACGCACTAAAAATTCTCTGTTTCGTATGTACAGAATTGTATAGTAGAATACACATAAACTCCTAACATAATAGATAATACACATAAACTCTTAACATAATACACATGAACTCTTAACATAATACACATAAACTCTTAACATAATACACATGAACTCTTAACATAATACACATAAACTCTTAACATTATACACATAAACACAAAAAAAATAAAACTGTAACGGGATTGGACGGACGGAACGGTGTCCGTCGTGTCAACTCCCCACCAACTTATAAAAGCGACGTCGTTTTGGGCCGCACGATATAATTTTCCCTATTTAAATAGGCTTTTGAGCCTATTTAAGGCCAACAATTTAAAGCCATTTAATATATACCTGTAAAAATTTTATAAAAAATACCAAATACATACATAAGTATATTACCACAAAAGGCAAAAATCCATGATAAAACAATAAGTTCATATTTTATAATAAAATTTCCAACAACACAAGTTTAATAAGTAGAAGTTCATAATACAAAATTCAACCATACAAGTATATAACTACAATTCCACAAGTCCATAGTACAAAAGTCCATCACAAGTTTAACAACAACACAATTACACAAATCATAAGTCCACAATACAAACATAATAACAACAATGTAAACATAATAGTATTCAAACATAAAATGAAACAAGTCATGACTTCAACATAATCTCCTCTTGTCCAGAACCTCCTACACAATGAAAAAAAAATTGATAATAAATAGTTAAGTCTATTACAAGTTCAAGTGCTCATAATTCATAAATAATAAATATTAAAGTAGTAAGTAGTAATATAAAATAAGATTCTTACCTTTTTGTTTTTCTTCAGCCCATACTTGTTACGAAGTCAATCCCCACCACAAATAAGAGCTTCAATAGATTGCTCATTTAAGCTAGCACGATATTCATCAATCACCATTCCCCCATCACTAAATGTGAATTCAGATGTCACACTTGTACATTAACTTGTTCAGGAATATATTCATTTGTATTGTTACTTGTCATCCTATATAATTTTATAAATATTTAACCATCAATACACATAAACAAGGTAACATCTAAGTATCTAATATTAAATATTATAAACAACTAAACATTGTTAGTTTATTACTGTAATTATAGGAGTTAATACAATTAAGGAATAAACAACTACCAAGACTATGTGGTCTAATGGTACTCGGGTTGGACTTCCATTTGGAAGATTGTGAGTTTGAGCCTCAGTGAAGGTGTTATTGGTTTTTTGTGTTTCAGTAGGTTGAGAAAGTATATGAACAGATACTACATTGTAATAGAACTAATACATATTTCAGTGTATTGACAATAAAATAGTCTGTCGCCGAAAGGTACGTCCTTTAACCTTTTTTTAGTGCCTCTCAACGAGGGGAAACAAGGACCACAACAACGCAAGCTCCTCGAATCCAAGCTCCCTCGTTGAGTTCAAGACCGGCGCCGAGCATAAGGAAGCTGCAGAGAACACTCTCACAAGCAACTGTGCCCTTCCAAGATATTCGGCCGGTGATCCATTGCCGTGCCTGAGCGTTTGGAATTGCACCAACAAGCTCAGACATCTAGCTCACTTGGAGGAGGCCAAAGCCGACGTGATGGAGAGCCACACCTCCCGGGCGGTGTTCCTGTCAACGGCGAGGTGCTTTACCTCGTCGGAGAGGGACGAGATAATCAGCGAAAGGATCGACTGATCCTGCTGTATCCATGTAGTGTAGGCCGGGTTCGGTGTCATGGTGGAGCCGGAGTGTAACACCCCACTTTTCTTAAACTTAATTAACAAACTTAACCTCGAAAGATAAACTAAGGCAGCGAAATAAACTTACTAAAATAACTAAATAGAGGTGTCACCGCCACAATCACCCTTCATGGTGATTGCACAGGCTAAGGATAAACAACTAAATCATTAAAGTCCACTAACATCAATCAAACTAGGGGATAAGACCCCGGTGTCTAGCACCATCAAACAAGGTAGTCAACTACAAATTTCTTAAGAAATAACATCAAGAGTTTAGACTATAACAACTACTATGCTAGTCTAGTCTAACTCATACTCTCTCATGCACTAGGCCCACCTGAAAGGGGTTAACAAACAACAAGTAAAAAACAAACCCGTTAGCACGAAGCTAAGTATAACGCCACTCAACCATGTAAAGTAATACAATATATACTTTTGAAAAACATTTGCTTCACATACATAGATCAAGCATTCTCAATCACTTAAACAACATTCAAATATGCTCATCGGGGTTTCTATATACTTACAACCTAAACATCAAATAGGCATGCTTTCAGGATTAATTATCTTAACAACAAACTCATACTATCACATACTTATCTTATCAATAAACTTATAACATCATATATCTCAGTAAGCAACCTCATGATATCATTCAATTTTCTAAGCAATCTCATGCCATCAAATTTTCCACTTGCAATCTCGTGCAATCATATACTCAACATGCAATCTCGTGCGAGCATATACTCATCATGCAGTCTCGTGCAATCATATACTCAACATGCAATCTCGTGCAATCATATACTCAAAATGCAATCTCGTGCAATCATATACTCAAAATGCAATCTCGTGCCATCATATACTCAAAATGCAATCTCGTGCAATCATATACTCAAAATGCAATCTCGTGCACTTAACTTAATCATGCAATAAAATAAACATGATGCTTTAGTATAAGTATAGATAGATATACATATACGCTCATTTGTAAAAAGAATATTTTTCTGTGGAGGTTTCTTAGAGTCACAATGACTCGCTTTGCTCTTCTTTTCTAGAGTCCCAATGACTCGCTTTCTTTAGAGCCGCAATGACTCGCTTTATTTAGAGTCGCAATGGCTCGCTTAGAGTCGCAATGACTCACTTTCTTTATACTCGTGGGCGAGGTAGGACTTCACCATAGTGTGAATGAACCTATTGGGCTTGGCGCCTTGCCGGCCAATTTCTCATCTCGCCCAAAGAACCCTCTCTTGGTTCTTTTCTCAAACTCTGTGGAATCAGGTATCGAACTATCAGTGTGCACACCCCCTGACCAGGATTCCAAGCCTGGCAGGCAGTTTCCAACCTAGTAACTCGGGAATATCGACCTCGTTACTTCATATAGGATCGCAATGTCCGCTTCTTTCTCTTTTCTTCCGAAAGGACATCGTCCTAACGGTCCTCCAAAATACTATTTTCCTCACAATAGATAGCATATAGATATATCTCATGCAACTTCTTTACTTATGCAAACTCATGCACATAGCTTCTCAATAACTTCACTTTTCTCATAAATTGGAAATCAAATATCATGCAATTTCTCAATGCAACTAGATAATGATTTTCTCAAAATAACTATAAGTTTTTGAAAATAGAACTTAGGCTCACTTTGGCCACTTATGCACTTTGAAAAGAAAACATGGTATGCTCAAATATGCACTTTACTGTAAAATATGTACTTCACTTTCAATTCACTGTGAACTCACCAACAAATTCTTAGACATGATTGTAAATCATAATTTAGCAAATCTTCATTGGCAAACACTTAGCAAGTATTCAACATGCACTTGAACTCAAATTACTGGAAATCATGCTCTATGCTCTACTAAACACTTGATATACTTAGCAAGTTTCTCAACAAGTCATATTAGACATCTAGGTCATGCTTTTCTAGCAAAACTTAAAAAATAGAGTTCATGCTTCTTAGTCTAACAATCAAACCATTACATGCTCTTCAAACAAATAAGCTAAATCTGATACTTCTCATTTCTACTCACTGTGTATATACTCAAACAACTTTCTGTAACATATTTCTTCACAAATTCTATCACAAAATACTCAATTCTATTCCGAATTCAGTGAAATCAACATCTATTCGTGCGTCATGACGGCCCCAAGTGTCCGAGCCTCAAGGGCCCGCGAGTCCTGGTCTGAAACAACACGTAGCTGAGCCACAAGGGCCCGGCCACTGCACAACTTCTGCTTGGCGGAGCTCTCGGCGGAGCATGAGATACCCCGCCTCCTAACTCCGCCGTTTCACGGCTCAGGGCAACGACCCTCACCAAGGACCGTGCCCTGGGGGCGCCTACTCACGGGGCTGGCTAACGGCTCTTGCCTAGGGTCGTTGGCTAGGCCCGTGAGACTGTCTGGTGCACACTGCCTTGTGCACCAGATGATCTCTTTCACCTGCAAGAATTTATTTAGGTATTCTAACACTTCCAAAAGCTTAACAACACATCATAGATCAACAATAGATCACTTAATAGCTCAAACACTTCAATAATCTAGCATTTCTACTCATATCTATCACAAAAATAGACTTCACAAAGTCTAGGAATAAGCTTTGGGAGTCCATGGGTTATACCTTTGTAGATTCCTCATTTGAGCTGGGATTCCACCTTCTTCCCAAGCTAGCTACGCCCTCCTTCACCTCCTAAACATCTCAAACAAACTATACAAAACTTAAGACTAAAACCTCAGAGAAGGAGAAGAGCTAGAAGAAATGGAAGGCTAGGATTGAATGGAGAAGGATGGTGAAAACTTGCTGTGTTGCCTCTATATCCTGCAGAGCTCAAAAATATGGGAAGCAAAGAGTGGAATCAAGAAGCAAATGTCTGGAAGAGTTCTCATTTATAGAGGCACAAAACCCTAGGATGATCTCTCATGATTGGTGGAGGGCAAAGGTGTAAAGTTTGGCTAAAAGTTTGCATCAGACAACATTTAGATGGCTTGTGGTCTACCATGCTTCATGAACCAAGGCTAGAATCAAGTTTTAAAATAGTTTGGGGTTGAAAAACGAAATTTCCAAAAATTACTTCTAGATGAACACTTGTTTTAGGCTTCTCAGATTTCTCCCGGTTTCGCTCATATTGGTTTTTCAGTTCAAAACTTGGTACGCAATGTACCCGAAAATCTAGGATTTTAGATTTAAATCAAGACTTGGTGTTGAATTTATTTAAAAGTGGCTCAAAATAATTTATTCAAACACCGGATCCATCGCAAAAATTTTTATGGAGTGAAAAATGGCTAGTTTGCAATTTCTTAAAACAGAATTTATAAAATTAAATTTTGGGTGCACACGGAGGCAAGCCACAGAGTCGCCGGACTATGGAGCGGCGGTGATGGTGGCCGGTGGACACGGGATTTCACCATCGATGTATCCAAGCAATCCCTGGCCGCGGAGGAATGGTACTAGTTGGGTACGCCAGAAAAGGAAATTTCGGGTTGTGAGTTTCATCAAAACAAAGTGGTGGGCAGCGGTGAGGGAATTGGTGGTGACCAGAACGGGGGCGGTGGTGGTGGTCACCGTACGCTTGGAAGAGTTTGTCGACATCGTATTTTGGGGAGGAAAATCAGGAGGAAAGCCTAACGCAACTGATACTAGATGAGAATACGTAATTCAAAATTGATTCTGTTGCTGGAGATTATAACAAGATAGAAACCTATAATAAGGATAACACAATACCCTCCTAAACTCTAGGCTAGACTAAACCAAATAAACTACAGCCACAAACATATAAAGCATATGATATAATATTATACATCACTATTACTAACACTCACTTCCTACAAAGCTGCTCAGTTTTTTTTTTTTGTTTTTTTTTTTAAAAATTTTTTTAACTTTTCTTCTTTTTGTGCTCTTTTGGTATCATGTTTATTGTATTTTGACTGTGGCCACAACTAAGCATGGTTCCTGGTCGTAACAGGAATAAGAAAAGAAGACAGCGAGCATCTGGTGGGGATAAGAGTGGTAGAGGAATAAGACAGTTTAGCTTGAAGGGTATTTATTCTCATTAGTGCTTTCTGTAGATTACCAATATTTTGTTTTTATCTACTTTAGGATTTATCTAGAAAAATGACTTTGATTAATAGCTTCATGAAGATTAATATTTTTCCTTGCCTTTCTAGTGTGCGAAAAGGTAGAAAGAAAGGGAAGAACCACATATAATGAGGTTTGTTGAATCAATGAAATATGTAATGTTGTTAAACTTCAAAATCGGTCCTATAACTTCATTAACTTGCTAAGTTTTTTTGTAATTTTTCATTTTCTCATATACATCTTTCATAAATGGCCTTATGTGAGTATTGGTACATGTTATTTATGTTATTTGTGCATGGATATGATAAAAATTGAAAAAACATGATGTTTTGTTAGTGTGGCTTCACTAGCAATGTTTTATGTGGTAAGTGTTGTTGATATTAGATCAATGGGCATGCTAATTGTTTGGCTTTTGAAGATTAATGCTACAAGTGGTTGTAGTTGACACTCAAGTTACAGAGGTAACTACCTACTTGATACACACACATAAGTATTTATTTTGTTGTTCTGCTCTTTTTTTATATAGCACATGCATAAGTATTTTATTACTGCCTGTGTTTATCACTGCTTGTCAAATGCTTTATTTGAGATCTACCATCTAAGACTCATATGCATTACTCAAAATTCGTAATTATGGATTTCTATGTTTTATAAAGTTTTCATCCTTTTTAACAGGTTATTTATGGAATTGTCTTTATATTATTTCTTTTTGTGTCCATTTTCTGTATTGTTTTTCTAAATTTTCCTATCAGGTTTTGGTCTGTGCTCCCAGTAATGTGGTTGTGGACCAACTAGCTAAGAAAATAAGTGCTACAGGTCTTAAGGTAAGCATGTACACAATCATCATGTTGTGCTTAATTGTAACTTGGCACTTACTGCTGTTGTTAGAGTATAGTATGCAATTGGTTTGATAAGTACACTATTTTGCAGGTTGTAAGGCTGTGTACGAAGTCAAGGGAAGCTTTCAGTTTTCCTGTTGAGCATTTAACTCTTCATTATCAGGTGTCTTTTGTTAATTACCTTTATATGTGCATGCATAGATGCATTTTTCTTCTGTCTCAGTAACTCAACCTTTTATTTATATTGGTTCCTTGCAGGTTCGCCATCTTGATACGTCAGAGAAAAGTGAGCTTCACAAGTTATAGCAAATCAAAGATGAACAAGGTGTTTATTGTTTATTTACTTATTTAGTAGCTAGCTGTCTGAGCTTGGCAAGTGTAAGTCCCCTCCCCCCAATCAATCTGGGGTTAGAGGTTCTCAAATGACTTGGATAGAGAGTAATGGGATAATCCTAGTATCCAATAATTCCAATTTTGCATTTGGGTTCAACGCCACACAGAATGTCACTTTGTTTCTGCTTGTGGTCATGCATTTGAGCAGCCAAACAGTGATCTGGTCTGCGAATAGAGCCTCCCCGGTTCGAAATTCGGATTTATTTGTGTTTGATGATTCCGGGAATGCTTATCTGCAGAGTCAGGGGTCTACGGTTTGGTCGAGTGATATCAGTAAAAAAGGGGTTGCTGCGATAGAACTGGGGGACTATGGGAATCTTGTTTTGGTTGGGAACGATATCAATGTTGTTTGGTAGAGTTTCAGTCATCCCGTTGATACTCTCGTTTCGAACCAGGAGTTTGATGAAGAAATGAAGTTAATGGTTGTTGTGTTAGAGGTATAGTTGGCACAGCTTGATATGTGAAGGTAAAATTCATTCATTTTGATTGTTTATTTTAGGTAGACGCCATGGAGGATACTGCTTGGAATGTTGCAGTAAAAGAATTTTTGTTGGTATGCTTGCTTATTTTTATTTTGGATCTTGAATCTGTGAGGGTTGATTATAAATTGGATAATTGTTTAATTTTGTTTTGGCTAATTAATTGCAGGGCTTAAATAGACAGAAAATAGGATGAAGACAATGATGAAAGAGAGTATGTCCTTGTTAGGAATAAAGTGTAATGGTTTTATATGCCAAATATGTATTTGTAGATCCCCCAATTTTATTTCATAGGTCTAGTAGAGTCTTAGACCATGTTCGGGAAATTATTTAAATTTGGAAAAGAGAAAAACAGAGGAAGATGCATGAAAATAGAAGAAGATATAAAGCCTAAAATCAAGAATTTGTCTGGAGAAAATGACAAATAGAAGAAGAAGATGAATGATATGAAATCACGTCGCTACTACTCAAAGAAATATCCCAGAAGAATTTTCGTGAAAGAAAATTAAGAATGGAAGATTGCATGAATTTGACTTAGAGATCAAGCATCTATGGAAAGAAAGGAGTACATCAAAGATGATTGGAGATTTAACTAATAAGCTGTACGGACGAAGTGGAAAATGCTTGATATGTTATGCGAAATGGCTCAAGTTTAAAACTCACCATCAGCAATTTTACAAGGTAAAATTTGAGAAGCCAAATTTAATTAAACTAGTTTGGCTTTGGGTGCCAATTACAAGTGGAAATTGGGGAGCGATTTCACTTGGGTGGCAATTGAGAAGCAATTGCACTTGGGAGCCCATTCAAAGAAATTGGAAATGGGAGCTAGTTTCAGAGAAATTGAAATTGGGAGCAAGTTTCACATAGAAATTGAAATTGGGAGCAAGTTTCACATGGAATCATAGTTTCAGAGAAATTGAAATTGGGAAATTGAAATTGGGAGCAAGTTTCACATAGAAATTGAAATTGGGAGCAAGTTTCACATAGAAATTGAAATTGGGAGCAAGTTTCACATGGAATCATAGTTTCAGAGAAATTGAAATTGGGAGCAAGTTTCACATGGAATCAATTCAAGTTGGGAGCCAATGTAAAATTGAAATTGGGAGCCGAAATTGAAATTGGGAGCAAGTTTCACATGGAATCAATTCAAGTTGGGAGCCAATGTAAAATTGAAATTGGGAGCCAATTGAGATTGTAGTATGGGATGCAATTTCAAAATGGGGACCAATTAAAAGAAGACAAATTGAAATATGGGATGCAATTTCAAAATGGGGACAAATTGAAATTGGGAGTCAATTGAGATTGTAGTATGGGATGCAATTTCAAAATGGGGACCAATTAAAAGAAGACATTGAGGAGCAATTGAATTGAGATGAAATTCAATACCATGAGAAGTCTGGGAGCCAATTTCGAAGTCAAGGTCAACATAATTCAAAATTGGAAGTAATTGAAGCACCAGGAGAAGTTTGGGAGCCAATTGCAAGTTAAAGTCAATTGGGAGCCAATTACAATGGAGAAATTCAAATTGGGTGCCAATTACAAGTCAATTGAAATTGGGTGTCAATTACAAAGGAGAAATTCAAATTGGGAGGAAGTTCAAAGCCAGTTTGAAACATTAGAACACCAGAATGAAGAAGATGAAGAAAAACTTACAGTAAAGAATTTCTCACAAGGAAAAATACTAGTCTAACTAGTATGGGATTAAATTGAAGAATATTTTTTAAATCTCAAAGATACAAGGACCACTTCAGAGCTGATCAGAGAAGCCATTCTACACCAAAACAGAGACCCAGATATTCCCACTCAACGTAAAATCAGAGGAATATCATATGAAGTTTGGGAACTCATTTACATAGAGATGAAGCTCTAACAACCGCTATCTTATCTCTTCTGACACTTTGCAGAAGATAAGATAAGATCTCTGACAAAAGATACAATATTTCAAAAATGAGATCGTCTCTTTCCAACGGACAGATTCTCATTACCAGCTATAAAATGATGAAGTTATGAAGACTTGAAGAAGCAGAGAGCAAAGGGAAACATACGAGCATAGAGCAAAGAGCAAAAATACATTGAGCAAAAATCTCATTTGGTACAGAGCATACCAAAAATCTTCAAGTGAGAAGTGAGAAAAGAAAAAGAACTCAGAGAGCTTCAAAAGAAAAATATTCTGAGAGTTCTTAAACAGAGCAAAACAGAACATAAAAATCAAGTGCTTTACTTGATATATTCAAAGAGAGAAAACACTTAGAGCATTCAAGAGAAATCATTCCAGAGTGTTTTAATCTTCATCAAAGACACATGCGCATCATTGAAGATCATCTACAGAGTCTCAGAAGTTGGAAGCAAGACAACACTTGTTTTGGAGCAAAACAAGAGAAGGGAGGAAAGTAGCATGGAGCTGTGAAATCCTGGATTGTCACACGGAGCTGTGAGATCCGAAGCAGCAGTGTCGGAGGCACTGGGCGTGATTAGTGCGGGCTTTGTGATCAAAGCACTAGATCACGGGATACGTTTCTACCGGAGTGTGGAAGACGAGGGGAAAGTAACGCGGAGTCGTGAAATCCTGGGATAGTAGCTCGGCGACGTGAAACCCGAAGCAGCAGTGTGGTGTCACTGGGCGTGATTAGTGCGGGCTTTGTGATCAAATCACTAGATCATGGAAATTCATTGTATCTTGGAACCAAGAAGTGGTAGATATAGTGAATTGCTCTTGGAGATAAGAGCAAGTGGAGTAGGAGGATTACACCACCTCGTGAACCACTATAATTGTCTTGTGTTCTTTACTGCTTTCTTTACATACTGCTCTTTACTTAATTGCTCTACACGAGATATACTGCTCACACAATCTCACACACACTTTATCTTTATTTAATTCCGCTGTGCACCATACTCTAACAATCTAGTTAAGAGTTTTGGTTTATCTCTGGCTTAGCAATTGTTGTGCTGTGCGAAAAAGTTTGAAAGTCTATTCACTCCCCCCCCCCCCCTCTAGACTTTCACCTTACCTCTTTTGGGACCAACAATTGGTATCAGAGCAGGCTGTCTATTTAGGCCAATTTGCTATCTAAGCACGTGCCTAACTGGGTCAACCGTTTCTGACTGCTAGACAGATCCATTCAACAAAGTGTGTGATTGGATTAATCTTTCATATCTCTCGTGATGATGATGAAGAAAGATTTAGCTCAAAATCTATTATTCTCACTTGATAAATTTGATGGTTGGAAAGTTCGTATGCAGGTACACTTATCGGCTTTACACGATGAAATGTGGGAAGTTATTTCCACTGGCCCTATAGAAATATTAAAAATCAATACGGCGTTTGTCCTATCCCCGGATGCTCCACAGTATGTACAAAAGCCTAAACCGGAATGGACATTGATAGAACGCGGAATAATTTTGACAATATTGCCAAGGATATTCTATTCAAAGCCGTTGATGATACAATATTTCCGAAGATCCGAAAGTGTGCTACTACCAAAGAAATATGGGAAACTCTCATCAAGATTGGCGAAGGAGATGAACAAGAAAAAGACAATAAGCTCACAATTGCCATGAAGAAGTTTGAAGATTTCAAAATGCTCTCAAATGAAAGTGTTGCAGACATGGAAGCTCGAATGATCAAAGTTCTTGGAGAGATTAGTGATCTTGGCAAAAATATTAGCCAAAAAGAAATTAATCTCAAAATCCTACAAGGCTTACCATCTGCATGGGATATGAAGGTTACGGCTATGCGCGATCACCGAGATCTAAGAATGTTGTCAACAGACAAATTATTTAGTGATCTAAAAGCATATGAGTTCGAAATGAAGGCCAAAGATGATGATGTTCATGAAGCTCGAAATGCTGCTCTAATGGCCGAACAACCGTCAACCTCCAGGTCAGTAGAAAATAATGTTGATTTTATGACTGACGAACATTTTGCTCTTTTTGTCAAAAAGTTTAGAAGGTTTATGCAAAAAGGAGACAACAAAAATTCTGCTCGTGGAAAATTCGTCTCTCGCACCCCACAAGAAGAAAAAGTCGAAGAAAACAACAATTTGTGCTACAATTGCCGCAAACCAGGACATTTTAAAATAAATTTTCCGTATCCGATCGTTAGCAAATATCAAGGCAAAAATGTTGAATCTACGCCGAACAAATCCGAAAGCAAAAGGTTCAAGCGCGACAAAAGAAAAGCTCTCGTTAGCAACGAACCAAACGAAAATGATGATTTGGAGGATTCATCATCAAGCGATGAAAGTTCATGTTCGAATGATGATACAGCGCTAATATGCAAGTCAATTGAGTTGAGTACAAGTGAAGATTGTCTTATGGCTCTTGAAGCAGAGGAAGAAGAGGTAACATCTAATTCTTTCAATTCTGTTAATTTTTCTCTTTCTCGTGAATCTATTGACAATCTAATGCGAGAATGTCAAGAGATTATGCTCACTCATC